GGAGGAGGAGGAGGAGAGAGGAGGAAATGACGCGGGGCGCCGTCTCGCGAGGACCCAGCACCACAGGCCGGTTTGTGAACCATGTTCACAACGAGCGGTGCGGAAACGCTTCGGGCACAGGTGCGCCTGGGAGGGCCTAGGAGCGCCTGGGAGCCCCCAGGAGCGCATGGGAGCGCCGGGTAACGCCTGGCAGCGCCTGGGAGACCTGGGAACGCCTCCGAGCGCCTTGGAGCGCCTGTGGGCGCCTGGGAGCCCCTGGGAGCGCCTGGGCGCAGACGGTGTTCCAGTCCGCCCCAGCCTCTGCCCGCGCGCGCCCCGGCGCCCGCGCGCACGGCCTGGGCCCCCGCCGCCCCCCCCCCCCCAGGCACGTGGATGCGGGGCCGAGGCCCCGAGCAGGACGGGCGGAGGGGGGGCGGAGGGGGGGGGCCTCCTCCCTTCCTCCCTTCCTCCTCCTCCTCCTCCTCCATTCCTCCCTTCCTCCTTCTCCTCCCTTCCTCCCTTCCTCCTCCTCCTCCTCCTCCTCCTCCTCCTCCTCCTCCCTCGCTCTCGATCCCCTATTCGAATTCCTGAGGCATCCTTCGACGCTCTGCCCGAATTCCTCCTCCCTCGCCCCCCCCCCACTCGATCTCCTACTCGAAGTCCCTCGATCCCCTCGCCCTCGGTCCCCTACTCGAATTCCTGAGGCATCGCTCGATTCCCTGCTCGAATTCCTCCCCCCTTGTCCCCCCATTCGATCTCCTACTCAGTAGTAGTCGGATTCCCTCGATTCCCTCGCCCTCGATCCCCTACTCGAAATCCCGAGGCATCCCTCCACGCCCTGCCCGAATTCCTCCTCCCTTGCTCCCCCCCCCCGTCCGGTCCCCTCTGCTCTGCCGTGGCGCTGCCCCTGCCTGCTTCCATCCGGGCGCGGCCTCCCCCAGACGCCACCAGAGGTCCGGGGAGGTCTCTGGAAGTCTCCGGAGGCATCCGGGGGTTCCGTCGGGCATGCCGTCCCCCTGCAGGAGGAGTGCTCAAGAAAATCCTCAAGAGCAGTGAGAGGTAGCATGTTGAGGATCTGTCGTGCTCGCTTGATGTTTTTGTTGGTGACTGCTTTTATGCTTCCTCCAGGCTCCGCCCGTCGGAGGAGCTGCCCGACCCAGCAGCAGAAGTCCTGGGAGGTCTCTGGAAGTCTCCAGAGGCGTCCGGGGCCGGAGGCCCGTGGGGGCCCCAGAGAGCGCCCCCATAAGGGGGCCCCTCGACGACGACGACGACGACGACGACGACGACGACGACGGGCGATGACGACGACGACGACGACGACGGGCGACGACGACGACGACGACGACGACGGGCGACGGGCGACGGCGGACGACGACGACGGGCGACGGGCGACGGCGGGCGACGACGACGGGCGACGGCGGGCGACGACGACGGGCAAGGGGCGGGCGACGACGGCGGGCGAGGGGCGAAGGGCGGATTGGCGGCGCACGGCGGACGACGCCGACGCCGCCGACGCTCCTCCTCCTCCTCCTCCTCCTCCTCCTCCTCCTCCTCCTCCTCCTTCTCCTCCTCCTCCTCCCCCTCCTCCCCCTCCTCCTCCTCCTCCTCCTCCTCCTCCTCCTCCTCCTCCTCCTCCTCCTCCTGCCGAGAGTGCCGCCATCGCGAGCAAGAGAGCCCCTGACCCGGATGGCACGATGAAGGCGTGGCCTCACCGAGGTCCCCGTCTTCGCATGGGGGGTCATTCGTAGATCTGGGCGGTTCGGTCTGATATATATATATATATATATATATATATCTGCAGAGGAGTCCCCCTGTTCCTGACGTTTTCGGCCCTCCCAACGTGGGTCCCCTCCCAATGGGTTAGGGGTCCTTGTATTGCCAATCAGCCTGCGTCGTGCTTTCATCGTTCGGCCTGCTTGTCTCGCCCCGATCGGGGCAGGGACGGGCGCGGGGCGGCGAGCTGACGTCGCGCGTTCCCGGGGCGCTGCCGCGAGGAGGCCCAGAGGCGCGCGGAGGAGAAGCCCGCCCTGATCCCACACATCGAGAACATGGTCCTCCGCCGGCCCGGCCGATCTAGACGCCCGAAATGGGCACGGAAAGAATGAGTACAATGCCTAACAGCAGTTCTTGTTCATTTTGAACAGGATTCGTTGTCCACGCCGCCGCGGCCTGTGCCCATTCGAGACAGAAGGCCGCCTGCCCAACAGCGGCCGCTGATGGTTTGGGACAGCAGTTGTTGTTGGGCATTGTACCCATTCTTTCCGTGCCCATTTCGGGCGTCCAAATCCGAGATGGGGCCCTCAGGAATTGGGCCGCCGAGGACGAGTGGAGGGAGAGGCACCGATGCCGCGGCCCGGCCCTCCTCTCTCCTCTGTGGGCCTCCGGGGAGGCCCTCGTCGCCGTCGCTGGATTCGCTCCGCAATGGTGGTCAGGATGTACTCCAGGAGAGGTCGGGGGAGTAGCGGTAGCGGTGCCTCTTGGTTTCCCCAGATGGGGCCTTCAGGGATTGGGCCCTGAAGATGCGAAAGGGACCCCAGGCTGAGCCTTCAGTTTGAGAGGCCGCTCGTCCTTGGGGCCCCATCCCTCAGGGCCCCGTCTTTGAGTCGCTGCAGCAACCGCGCCGCCGTTTCTGGCTGCTTTTCGGTATTTTGTCAGCATCTGTGGAGGGGCCGGCCCTCCCGTGCCCAGAGGGCCGTCGGACACGTTGGGCTCTCGGGATGAGAAAGCCCGCCGCCAGGAAGAGCGACGAAAACGCCCAACAACTTTTTTGCAGAGCGCTGATGATGAGGAGGAGGAGGAGGAGGAGGCGGAGGATGAGGAGGGAGGAAGGGGTGGACGGATGAGCCCACTGCCGACTGCGCTGGACACCGCTGGCGGCGCCTCTGACGGCCCCCCCACTGGAGCGGTCCGCTCCCCGGGGAGGAGGTTTCGCCCGCCGATCAAACATCCGCGCGGACCTTCGGCTGTTTCCCCCAAGCAGCGTTTGCCCTTATGGGGTTCTTACTTCTGCTCTCAGGAGCTGGGGCGGCCTGTCTGAGGCTCTGGCGGCCACGTTGCGGCCGTCGCCGCCCCGTCGCCGCCCCGTCGCCGCCTCGTCGCCGCCCGTCGCCAGCTGGGCCTGTCTGAGCCTCTGGCGGCTATGTTGCCGCCGTGGCCGCCCCGTCGCTGCCTCATCGCCGCCCGTCGCCAGCTGGGCCTGTCTGCAGGCTCTGGCGGCTATGTTGCCGCCGTCGCCGCCCCGTCGCTGCCTCGTCGCCGCCCGTCGCCAGCCGGGCCTGCCTGCAGGCTCTGGCGGCTATGATGCCGCCGTCGCCGCCCCGTCGCTGCCTCGTCGCCGCCGCCCGTCGCCAGCTGGGCCTGTCTGCAGGTCTGGCGGCTGCGGTGCCGCCGTCGCCGCCCCGTCGCCGCCTCGTCGCGGCCTCGCTGCCGCACTTGCATGTGCTGCGCCACATAGGTTGCACCGCATGAGTTGCACCACGTAGGTTGCACTATATAGGTTGTACCCCATATAGTGCACCACATGTACAATCCACATAATATATATATATATATATATATATATACATATAAACCAAAATTGCACAGCACATAGGTTTCACCACATATTTTGTACCACGTACATTGCGCAACATATATATTGTACCACATCGATTGCACAACTTGCGCAAGACATATTTGTACATCATAGACCGCACACCACATATGTATATACATACACATCTATATCTATATATGTATGTATACATGTATGCATGCATGCATGCATGTATGTATGTCTGTATGTATGTATGTATGCATGTCTGCATGTATGCATGTATGCATGTATGCATGTATGCATGTATGCATGTATGCATGTATGCATGTACGCATGTATGCATGCATGCATGTATGCATGTACACGTGTATGCATGCATGCATGTATGCATGCATGTATGCATGTCTGCATGTATGTATGCATGTATGTATGCATGCATGCATGTATGCATGCATGTATGCATGCATGTATATATATATATACACATGTATATGTATGTATTGCACCATAGATGTAACCACATAGCTGGTACCACATATATTGTACGACGCACATCTGTATATTTGCATGTACATGTATAGTACCACATCGATTGCACCACACAGACTGCATTGTTTACGCTGGTTGACATCTGCTCCTGCAGTTTTTCGGATCCCATTTTCGGAAACGAGCGCTGGGAGGCTGACCCGGAGGTCCCGACCCCTTCCCTGGGGCCAGTTCTTCGTCCCGGATCTCCCTCTGTTGGCCCAGGGTCTCGCAAAAACCGGCCCCAGAGGCGCAATCTCGAGGAGCCGTTTTTTTATGCGGGGCAACAACCCCATGCCCACGATAATAATGTACCCCCCCCTTAAGTCGTTAGAGTTTTTTATCGTCGACCAATAAGAGTTTGGTCGGGGGCGCGGGGGCGCGGAGGCCGAACTTCATTATCACTGGGAAAGTTCGCCATCGAGGTTGCTTCCTTCTCATGTTGAGATAACAACATCAAGCGAAGCGAATACGTTTTTCCAGGATGTCTCAAGCGAAACCAATAATTTTGGGATGCAGGCTCAAACGAAATGATCAATGTTTCTTTCTCTTCCTCCCGGTGGCCCCTGAACTTGTTTATCGCTGTGCTTTATTATCCAAGGAAACTACCCTACACGATCAGATGAAAATTTCAATTTTCATTAAGCGCTTACAAATTAAATCTAATAAGTTTTGAACTTTGGATTTTTGCTATCTCCTTCTCCTCTCCTCCTCTTGCTGTTTCTCCTCTTCCGCCTCCTCCTCCTCTTCCTCCTCTACCTCCTCTTCTCTTTCTATCTTTCTATTTATCTCTCTATATTTCTTCTCCTCCCCCTGCCCCCCTGAACTTGTTTATCGCTGGAGTTTACTATCCATGGAACTCGTTAGTGGGGCCGACGCAAGCGTCAATTCATTTCCATAACAAATAATATTAAACTCATGGAGATCTATAAGGAATACATCGGAATATAAAGAAACCCAAAGGAATCGATCGACATCTATAAGTATTCATACAAAAATCTATAGGGATGTAGAAAAATCCATAGCGATTTCGTGGAGGATGTCTCAACCGAGACAAATCATTGTTGAGGATGTCTCATAGAGGACCATAGACCCAGGATCCTCGAGATATCTTTGGCTCTTGATATCTCTTTATGCTGGCTCTGGCGGGCAACTTTTATTATCCCCCCGAAAACCCCGAACTTTATTATCCCTTAGGGTTTATTATCGGGGGCATGGGGTTACCCTCGGGGATCTGGCTCAGCTGTTCCGCCGCGGGCGTCAGGACGCCGCCCTCCCCAGACCTCCGACGCCCGGGTTTGTCCATGACGTCGACCCCCCCAGAGGTCTCGACCCCCTTCCCCCGGACCATTTCCTCGTCCCGAGTCGTTTCCGCACGGTCCCGAGGCCCGGTGAGGGCCCCCAGAGTTCTGATGTTCCAACTCACTTTTAGCCTTGACCACCAGAAAGAATTTCGAGCACCTCTTCCGACACTGTTTCGACATTGTTTCGACACCTCTTCCGGGTGCTCAGACTTATGCAGGGATGTGGTCCTTGAGTACGAGGGGAGCAACAGAACCCCAGAGGCCGAAAGGAGCGAAGAGCCTCCCGCTGTGCTCCTCTCTGCGCTCGAGGGGGTCTGCGTCTGCCGCCGCTGCCCCCGCCGCCGCCGCTCGCCGCCCTCGGCGCTCCTCTCGCCGTGCCCGCCGCTCGGCGCGCTCGCAGGCGCTCGCCGCCGCTTCGGCCCCGCCGCTTCGGCTCTGGCGCCGCCGCCCCCTTGGCATCGCTCGGATGTGTGCATTTCTCCTTCGGCGAGGGCCATCGAGGAGCAGAGCATCCTTGCGCAGTTGGGGAAAAAGCCGCGCACGGAACCGAACAAAAGCACAGGGAGTGGACGTCCGAGCGATGGCCAGCCCCCGCCCCGAGGTCAAGGCGCACTGGCGGGCCGTGCGGTGCCCCGGAGCCGCCCGGCCCTGGTCCTCTGCGCAGCCGCCGCCGCCGCTCACCGCCCAGCAAGCCACCCCAAACCCAACCCGAAGGCCTCAACCTGCCCTCCATTTCCACTCGGGGGGGTCGGGGATCAGTGAACAAGAACACGCATGAAGCCCGTACCCCCCCAGCCCGAAATTCGGGTCTTCGGGTTGGGTTGGGGTGGTCTGGTAGGTAGTCATCCGCCGCGGCTGGGATCGATCTATGCCTCCTAAGGTGTAAATCGGGCATGTCCCTCTACAGGAGGAATATTCAAAAGTAGTCGAAGAATAGTCTGGGGACGATTTGTTGTCTATGTTTTTTTGTTGGGGGGCACTTTCTGCATATTCCTTATTTGTCGTCGAAGCTCCGCCTGTACGAGGACATGCCCGACCCAATCCTAGATGGGCTCCAAGTAGTCGGGGTCGGAGGGTCGCGCCGCATCGCCGATGAATCGCCGATGCGGCTCCATGTGGAGCTCGATTTGCTTCACGTCGACGTCGCCCATACATCGGCCCACGCCGACGATGCGTCGCCGGTGCATCGCCGAGATGCTCTGCCGATGCGTCGCCGACGTAGCGCCGATGCGGCGCGATCCTCCGACCCCATCCACTCCGACCCCACCCAGGAGGCCTCGAGATCGAGGATCAGACTTGCCAGGGGGGGCTCTCAGACTTCAGGCATGGAGCCTCAAGGCTCTTGGGATCCATCCCCCGAGCCCTCAGTCGGGCGTGTCCCTCTCCAGGAGGAATCTTCAAAATTCTTTACGCTTCGCGTATCCCCACCAGCCCATCTCAAAACAGCAACTCTTGCGAAGCATGCCGACAGTCGTGTTTTTCAGGCGTGTTTCCGCCTGCCCCCGCATATCTCCCCTGTTCCTCCTTCCTCCCGCCTCCTTGTACATCCTCCTTGTGGTGGGAGCGGGAGAAGGACGAGGCGGAGGAGGAGGGAGAGAAAGCGCTCCTCGTGGTTTGAGTCGTTTGGGGTTTCTCGTCCTGGTGTGAGTCGTTCGGGCCCTTCTTCCTGGTGTGAGTCGTTCGGGCTCTTCGTGGTGTGAGTCGTTCGGGCTCTTCGTCCTGGTGTGAGTCGTTCGGGCTTCTCGTGGTGTGAGTTGTTCGGGCCCCTCATCCTCGTGTGAGTCGTTCGGGCCCCTCCTCCTGGTGTGACTCGTTCGGGCTCCTCGTGGTGTGAGTCGTTCGGGGCCCTCGTCGTGGTGTGAGTCGTTCGGGCTCCTCGTGGTGTGAGTCGTTCGGGCGCCTCGTCCTGGTGTGAGTCGTTCGGGCCCCTCCTTCTGGTGTGAGTCGTTCGGGCTCTTCGTGGTGTGAGTCGTTCGGGCCCCTCGTCCTGGTGTGAGTCGTTCGGGCTCCTCGTGGCGTGAGGCGTTCGGGCACCTCGTACTGGTGCAAGTCGTTCGGGCCCCTCGTAGTAGTAGTAGTAGTAGTAGTAGTAGTAGTAGTAGTAGTAGTAGTAGTAGTAGTAGTAGTAGTAGTAGTAGTAGTAGTAGTAGTAGTAGTAGTAGTAGTAGTAGTAGTAGTAGTAGTAGTAGTAGTAGTAGTAGGTAGTAGTCGTAGTAGTAGTAGTAGTAGTAGTAGTAAAGTAGTAGTAGTAGTGGTAGTAGTAGTAGTAGTAGTAGTAGTAGTAGTAGTAGTAGTAGTAGTAGTAGTAGTAGTAGTAGTAGTAGTAGTAGTAGTAGTAGTAGTAGTAGTAGTAGTAGTAGTAGTTGTAGTAGTAGTAGTAGTAGTAGTAGTAGTAGTAGTAGTAGTAGTAGTAGTACAAGTAGTCGTATCCAAGGCAGTTTGGAGGCCTCTTGGAGATCGTAGAGGGGCCTCTTGGGCTCTCTTTTGAGCCTCTTGGGAGCGTCCGGGGGCCCTCTTGGGCGCCTCTTGGAGCGTCTTGGGGGCCTGTTGGGGCCATCTTTGGGGCGATCGATCACAGATGGGGCGAGCATTTTTGTCAGTACCCCCGTCGGGGCCACGATCCTCGTGAGGGGTGTCGAATTTTAGCCCTCCCAGGGATAGAAAAAGGACCCTCTGACCACCCGCGAAACCCCCTCTCCAGGTCCAGGGGGAGGGGGTAGGGGGAGGGGTAAACCCCTCCCCGAAGGGGAAGAAAGGGGGGTTGAGAACAGAGAGAGCTCGCTAAACCTCTCACGCCCAAAGGGCTGGTGGGACTAGAAGTAGTAGTAGTAGTAGTAGTAGTAGTAGTAGTAGTAGTAGTAGTAGTAGTAGTAGTAGTAGTAGTAGTAGTGGTAGTGGTAGTCGTAGTAGTAGTAGTAGTGGTAGTAGTAGTAGTAAAGTAGTAGTAGTAGTAGTAGTAGTAGTAGTGGTAGTAGTAGTAAGGGTCGTAGTAGTTGTAGTAGTAGTAGGTAGTAGTAGTAGTAGTAGTAGAGTAGTAGTATTCAAGTAGTAGTAGAGTAGTAGTAGGTAGAGTCGTAGTAGTAGTCGATAGTAGTAGTTAGTCGTAGTCGTTAGTAGTCGTTAGTAGTCGTAGTAGTAGTAGTTGTAGTAAGTAGTAGTAGTAGTAGTAGTAGTAGTAGTAGTTCGTAGTAGTAGTAGTAGTAGTAGTAGTAAAAAGCTTTAGTACGTAAAGTCGTAGTAGTAGTAGTAGTAGTAGTAGTAGTAGTAGTAGTAGTAGTAGTAATAGTAGTAGTAGTAGTAGTAGTAGTAGTAGTAGTAGTAGTAGTAGTAGTAGTAGTAGTAGTCTTGGGAGCCTCTTGGAGGCCTTTTGGGGCGTCTTGGGGGCCTCATGGCGGCCCCAGGGGCTTCTAGGAGCGTCTTGGGTGCCTTGGGGGAGCCTCTTCGGGCCTCTTGGGAGCCTCTTGGCGGCTCCAGGGGCTTCCAGGAGTGTCTTGGGTGCCTCGGGGGAGCCTCTTGGGGCCTCTTGGGGGCCTCTTGGGGGCATCTTGGGGGCCTCTTGGAGGCCTCTTGGGGGCTCTTTGGGAGGGGTCTGGGAGGAATCTTGGGGCCATCTGTCGGGCGATCGATCACAGATGGGGCGAGCACTTTTCTCCCCCCCCCGTCGGGGCCAGAATCCTCGTGAGGGGTGTCGAATTTTAGCCCTCCCAGGAGTCGAAAAAGACCCCTCCAACGACCCGCGGAACGCCCTCTCCAGGCCCAGGGGGAGAGGGTAGGGGGAGGGGTAAACCCCTCCCCGAAAGGGAAGAAGGGGGGTTGAGAACAGAGAGAGCTCGCTAAACCACTCACGCCCAAAGGGCTGGTGGGATTCGACAACTTCCACGCGTGCGTCGCTGCGCGCGCATGCCGAAGTCCTTCCACAACCTTCGTTGCCGTACGCATGTCAAGACCGAGCTCGTGCTGGAAACTAAGCTTCAACAGTCTTTACAACCAAGGCTGCGCGCCCGCCCTTGCGAGTTCTTAGAACATCCATGTGTGCTTCAACACCTCGCTTGTCTGAGACCACGCGGGCCCCTCGCGCGCGCGTGTTGAGATCATTCGAACGCCCCTGCGCGCTTACCCATCGGTCGTTGAAAGTTGGTATTTTTGGACGCCTAGATTCAAATCTACTTAAGCCTTCCTACTTCAATGATCGAGTAGCTTCACCTTTTCAGTCCTCCCTAGTGGGCGGATAGAATCCAACCTATTTTTAACGCCTGCCTATTTCTGACCGATGGGTACTGGGCGGGGGGATTTTTACCTACTCATAAAATGCTTGCGACGCGCGCATGTCGGAATCTACCAGCATCTCATGAGCGACACATCGGTATTATCATCGTTATGTGCGTTGCCGGAGTCTGCGCCGTCATTGGCCTTGCCGTCGTCATGCCATCATCGCCACCACCGTCGCATCGTTGGCGCTCCTGTCGACGTCATCATGATACCGCGCCCGGCCGAGCCACCGATCCGCATTGAAGTGTCCGCGCGCCAGCGCGGCCCTTGACGCGCGCTAGGAAATTGCCATCTGTGAGCGCCATCACGGCCGCATCGGTTGTGCCAAACCAGCTGGCCGTTCTGTGCGCGAGCTCCCGCGGGCCAGCGCGGCTACAGAGATGCGCCAGCCATGACCAAGCAGTCTTCGCAATCGCCGCCGCATGGCTTCTGCAAACCAAGTTGCGGAGGGGAGGGTGGGATGCTTGCTCGAGCAGTGGAGTTGACAACTCCAAGTTCTTCAAACTAGCTGCCTGCGGCAGGTCCCGCCACCGAGCCAGCCCAGCATTCTAGGTGGCAGTTGTTCGACCGGGGCACGGGAAGATGTCACGTGTGACCATTCGTGCTTCAGGCTTAGAATAACCTGAATGATGATACTGATGATGAGGATGCTGATGCTGATTATGGTGATGGTGATGCTGATGATGGGGATTCTGAAGATGATGATGGTGATGGTGGTGCTGATGATTGGCATTATGATGATGATGGGGCTGATGGCAATGAACATGATGATGCCGATGATGCTGATGATGATGCTGCTGATGATGATGATGCTGACGATGATGATGCTGGTGGTGATGCTGGTGGTGATGATGCTGATGATGGTGACGGTGATGGTGGTGGAGATGATGGCGGTGGTGCATCAAGGCTGTTGCAATACACCCTCCCTCCGAGTTCCCCCGTCATAGGTGCCTAAAAGAATCGAGCTGCCTGCGGCGAGTCCCGCCACCGTGCCAGCTTATGTGGTGACTGTTGGAGGTGCACGGGAGGCCGTCAAGCGTGGCACCTCGTGTCTCCAGGCTTGGGGGAGCCGTGATGCGGCGATGGGGGTGATGAGGACTATGAGGGTGGCGGGAATGATGACGATGATGAGGAGAAGGATGAGGATGACCATGATGTTGATGTTGTTGATGATGATGACGACGATGACGACGGTGTCGACGAGTACGTTGACGATGACGATGACGATGACGATCACGATGATGCTGCTGATGCTGATGCTGATGCTGATGCTGATGCTGATGCTGATGCTGATGCTGATGCTGATGCTGATGATGATGATGATGATGATGATGATGATGATGATGATGATGATGATG